GCATTATCCAAAACGTACTGAAGATCTCAGAAAGGAAAGATTGAGATATTTTAGTGCAGCTCAATAAATGTAATGTATTAGTCTTTCCTACCTTTGACATACTTCTTCTCCCTTATCGCTCCAACCGTATCTGTGATGAGCTTTAACTTGCTGGAGCTACGCTCCCTCGGCTCATCGTTTTCGTCACCACGCGGGCCTAACTTTAATTCGAAAATGATTACATGTTTTGTGAAAAAGGATTGTTTAAACACTGCAAAATCACTATAAATGAGGAAGACAAGCAAAGAACCTCACCTCCTCCAAAATAGCTTTCACTGCGCCCAACCTAGGCAAGGTCGTGAACTTAAGATGAGGATATCCATTCAACTTCCCATAACTGTAAATCACCTTTTCCAAAACCATGTTAATTAAAAAAACAGAACGGTAGGGAAAAATACAATCAATACAAACCGTTGACTGCTTTCCACACGTTTGTAATAAAATCCTCCTTCTGGAAAAACGATCACCCAACGACGATCGCGATCCCAAAACACATCTTGAAGATGCTGCTTCAACCTAAAGTCATTGTTATAGTGATGAAATCAACCCCTCAAAGTGGCTTTTTGGAAGATTAGAGAAAAGGAAAAAATGCTGTGTGTGCAGATAAAAATAAAATTCAAAATAATCAAAAAATGCGAGCATTACACAAAAATAAAGTCGTACGAGTAGGTTTGATGTAAAGGTTGGCTGCAAAACTTTTTACGAANATTTCTTTCTCTCGAGTTGCTTTGCCTTGCATTATGAAGTAATCTCCATGATTGTTACCAACAATCCCGAATGGGCTCCACCGAAACATCACATCCATCAACCATAATGTCTGTAACAAAATAATACTAGAATAAACAGGGATACATCTAATAAACCAAATGTTGCACGAAAAAGACAAATACGTAACGTTGTCAATGTGCCATCTATAAACAATTTTAAGCCATCATATTGAAAAATCAATTGCTACAGCAAGTAACATCTACCTTTCTACTCGCAACACCTTTGCTTTGTAAGCATGCCATCAATGTAGGAACATCAGCAGTGCTTTGATGATTACACATCAATAAGACTCTCTCATCACGGTAGTAATTCGTCACATCGTCACCATACTCAAAAACTGCAACAGTCTTTATAGATAGAACGTTCAGCAAGACTAAGCAAAGAAGCTGCTTTTAGAATAAAAAATAGCCCTTTGAGTAGGGTGATATGCTACAAATACTCAGTCTATTTTCATTAGCTTTGATTCTGTCGATCCTTCTGTGCATGGAAAAACCCTCCGCCAACACCTACCGCCATCATGGTGGCATGAAAAAATCATCTAGAGGTCCCCCTACATTTTGTTTGAACAATAATTGTAGAAGCTGTGTGGGGGAGGACGGAAAGCGTGACGTCGTGTCAAAGGGCATCTGGGTACACTGCTAAAAACTCTCGTGGGGGTTCTGAAAAAAGCGCTTCTTTCAAAGCCCAATTGCATAGCTGTTCAGTTTGATCGTCACTTCCTTCCACTACAGAATTTCGAATGCTGGAGGAAGCATCACAAAGAACCGAGATATGTCTGATCACGAATTCCAAATTTTCTTGTTTCAAACTGAGTAGGTTTCTGTGCGACTGAATGTAATTTGAGACACAGCACAGCGTCAACTGACGTACAACATCGCTACTCTTTAGAAAAGAAATATCGGAGGGTAAAAATGTTTTCAGAAGCAATATCGCAACAAAGGGTAAACGTGAACGCAATAAAAAATCATGTAAACACTCACCGTCGTATCCAGCTGTGTAGCCCCATGTTCCGATGAAGCCCTGTAACCATCGATACAGCTTTCCTTCGACAAACCAATATAGACGTGGCCTTCAAAGATAAGAGTGACATACTGTAAAGAAATTAGCATTTAGTACATTAAGCATTACAATTTCGATGTTTATTCGCATTTTACCTGACAGACCTACGCACCAATATCAAACGAACAGGTGCACGGTACAATTGCTTTAGCGCCTCCGCACCAGCTGACAGCTATAGGGCTCTTGTGAAGAACTTCAAAGAACATGCTGGCAAACTCTTCACCCAATGCTTTTTTTGAAGGCTCCCAGGTTATGTAGCACTTGTTTACTTTCTACACCTCCAAAACATAGGGGTTTCTAGAGTCTCGACCAAAAAGCATTATTCCATTACTAGATTCTGTTCTTACTCTAGTAACTCCCCACAAGATGCGCCAATCCCTTGGGAGCTCGACAAGCAGTAAGAATAAAAAAGCCGTTCCAGCTGTTTCCCATTCTCTCATTCGATACGAAACTGCAGCCGTTATCACATGCAATGGCGATATGTTTACACTGGACTGTTTACTTTTCAGGACATGGTTACTACTACAGAGTGTGTCCTTATCAAACTTGCCCATAATTTTGTATAGAGTCAATAGGGAACTTCACCGAACAGGTTCACATCAGTAATCGTCCTGATTATACATATACCAAAAGAACAGTGGTCAACCAAATAACAACTTTTTCTGTTTCTAATGGCAACTGGAATCTTTTCCAATTTATTGAAGAATATTCAATAAAAAGAAGTGAAAACAAAAGTGTGAGTGAAAAGATTCAAAAACAATGTAAATAGCAGAATAACATACCAAATTTTTCGAGCCCACATTACAGGGATCATGAATCCGAAATAGGTTAAAAAGAAGACTGTCACAAGCGATAAGCACATAATCGCCCTGAAAATAGCATGCGCTAAATGTAGAGATGCTAACTGACGAATACGAGTGGTAGTCACCTGATTGGTGTCTTTATGAACCATAGTATTTTCTCTTTAGTTGTAGCTTGGGACAGTATTGACCGAGAGCCGGGCGGCCGATCTCGCCCTGGAACCGAGAGTTTTTTCAACAACTCCGCGGTCTCTTCGTCCTCTAACATCTAAAAAATAATGAGTAGTGTCAAAATGTCTGGATAAAATCAGATTATATGTATACGAAAATAGTACAAATAGCAGAGATTTTGGAAAAACACGGCACTGACGGAATAGAATAAACAGTGATCGAAGGAGCGCACAAAGAGAAAGAAAGAAAAAACTTCCCAGCAATCGGCACGCTCGGCAACAGCAGTAGTCGTTTGTCCTCAGAGCTTACTTTAAGACCACAAGATCAAAAGAAAACCTTTAATTCTTGTTGAAGTTTTGGTTTTAGAAGTCATGAAAAGAAATACGAACACCAACAAAAATTCCCAGATGTCCAGTGACATCACTTTCTATGGAGTACTCCAGAGATAGAAGCGAGAAATGATATGGTAATAACTTTCATGNAAAGAAATACGAACACCAACAAAAATTCCCAGATGTCCAGTGACATCACTTTCTATGGAGTACTCCAGAGATAGAAGCGAGAAATGATATGGTAATAACTTTCATGGCTCAGCGCCAATTTTCCTCTTATCATCACCTGTTAGAATTCTGGAAATTTAGAAGCAAATTTCATAGCACTGTTGTAAGTCTAAGGATCAAAACATGAGGTCGTTCGTGCCTATCAAATCCACCAAAAAACAACATTTTTAGGATAACCATCCAGTGATGGAAAATTTCAGCAGGTCTATGATACAAATGAAACCGCACAATGCAAATAGGAGGTGAACGTTGAACTCCAAGACGTCTAAGCGCACCTTTATTAAACTATGCGGAGCAGTTTGCCATCGATCATTCCAGAGCCACATGATGGGTAACCTCATAGTTCTTGAACGAACGAAGCAAAAATCACCGAGAGGCAAAAGGCTTGTCAGATCCGGCACAGCCACCAAACACATGCATGCCAAATTTTTCGATCAAATGCTGCTTAAACCAGCTAAGCCCTTCAACTCTCACAGGTTTTGAGAACGGTCAAAGCGTTCAAAACTAAAATTAACGAATTATTACGGTAAGTTTCGCCACAGACAAAAAAAAAACACTGAGTTGTGCCAATGGCATAAAAGCGAACTCCATTGCTGACTGTAAAAAAGCAATAATCTTTCACTAGGATACTATAATATATCAAAAAGCTGCCCGGAATCCAGTACGCCAAAAAGGAGGCCAGACAAGACAGCGAAATTGGGCCAACTACGTTTTCCGATCGCAGCTTTCCAGATAGCGCTAATAGCTGCATTTTTGATGACTAAAAGCCGGTTTTATTGATTGTGGACTCCAATGCTGTATAAGTGGACATTAGGATTCAACTCTTACAAATTACTTATGGAACGAACAATAATTTTGTAACCATACTGTAAACGATAAAATGATGGCACTACAAACAGATGGGTTATAAAAAAGGAAAAGATGCCGTCTGTGGTCAACACAGCTTGGGTGTTAACTCTTCTCCACGTGGATGAGCGAAAGGATTCCATAGAATCTTTATATGTACGACCTTCATTTTTGCAGGAGTGTCTGACGAAAAAGAGGTCAAGATAAAATGTTGAAGACGTTTTTCATGGATACGTGCAGTAGTGAACTATCTGTAGATTGTTTACTGATAAAATTGAGCAATTTACATATCAAATCAATTGCCTATAAATAGAACTTCGTTGCGATACTATGTGGCCACCAAATACTCTCTTTCTACGCAGACCATTTCAGTGTTTCATCGGAATACTTGAATCGTAGACTTGTTTCCTTCGCTGACCTTTGAATACCACTGAACACTTTTCAAGGTACAACCATTTTAAAGAGGAAAAGCCATTGAACACTCTGTGAATTAGAGAAATCAATGAGCCTTGTGGCATTATCGAAAAAAGAAAAATACGATCTATTGCCACAAGGGACAGAAGTAAGGAGGACACTGGTAATAAAGCATACGATGATTACAATGAGGACCAACTGTCGAAAAGCTAACAATCATATCTGCAACAGATCGACGAAATATGGGCAAAACTTCGGCCGACGAGACTTGATCCCGTACTTCTGTCTCCCTGGCCCCGTACCACCGTGTTTTGGGGCAAATCGAGTACCCTGTAAGTTCTCTCGGGCACAGCATGGCCTTATCCTTACATGAAACATTACCCCGTACATGGACACCCCTTTTTTGAGGAAAAAATCCATTTGTATTCACATTTCCAAACAATTTCACTAGATTGACAAATAGTAGCGAATGTTCGCCCTTACAATGCACTCTTGTTAAACATCAGGTATGAAGCTCAGAAATACAAATGTGATTACGTTTTTAATAAAAAAAGAGTGCAACCTTCCAAAAAAGACGCTAGGCTATGATGACGGATGCGAACATAAAACCGATAGGAAATGAAAAAGTGCTAAGTCCTTGCCAAAAGCTAGTGCAATGAAAGGCGCAAAGTTCAGAATTGATAATTGAGCACTTGAAACAACGATGGAACCTGCCATTTGCCACGTCACCGTGTTAGTCATTTTGCAGTCCGTCTGACAATCACTCGAGACACTCCACGGTGGAGAAGGAAAGATACTACGTTGTTTTCTATCTGATTCCGAAAGTACAAAAGAAATTTGCTTGAAAATCTCAACAACTACCGCCTCCTTTGGCTGAATTATTGCTCAACTCAAAAGCATAACTCAGAACAAAATAACTAAACTTAGAGGCAACCGACCAGGGGTCGGGTAGAGTGGAGTAGAGCACTGGCTTACCCGAAGTATTTCTCGAAGGACGTCAACAGACAAATCATTGCACCTTCAAGTTCACGTGTACTATGAACTGGATCCATTGACGTTGTAAGATGTTTCTGACTCGCCACAAGATTTCGTCAATCGATTGACAAACTTGAAAAAAATACTTAACAAAAACAACAGTCTTATTTTGTTTGTCAGGACCACTCTTTTATTAACTAACTGACGGAGAAAGTCCTGGAACTTTATCCTGAATGAATGTGAACTAGTTTGTAAATTGTAATAATTAGGGTTTTATTTCCTTTCTTCCCTTCAGGAAAGAAGATATGAAGAAGGATTTCGCCAGGTTGTATGCATTAATTTGGTCAAACCCCCGTTCCCATGCTACGAGCTAAGAAGCATCCACGAACCCCCTACAAAAAGACATTAAAATTTTTGCATGCCCGTATTCCTGCAAAGTCCCTTCTAAAGGAATTAATGCATCGGAAAGTGAATCAGATAGTTCCTTCCGGTTTTTTCGCTGAGACATGGGAAAGTCACACATCAAAGTTTTTGTTGTTTTCATTCCTGCTTTATATAGAAGAGAATGTGCATTCCAGTCATAGCTTACTGGACTCATTCGCCTGCCTTTACCGATTTTCTCCAAACTAGTAGGTCTCCAAATACATTTCGATAAAAAAAGAATTATTTCCACTCCTAACTGTAATTATACGGCCTTCAAAGAATTGCCGGCTTGACGATACTATTACACAAAAGTTTCATCCTGAGTACAAAGTTAGCTCTGTTCCATGACTTTTGAATTTCAATGACGAAGCTGTAAAAGTCTACCAATGGGCCAAGAATAACAACGAAGAGCTGGTTACCTTAGCATGGGATATGCCCTACAGCTAATCGTGAAGTTCCGCACATGTTGTACTCTATTCCATCTCGATATCAATGTAAGATCCTTGAATTCCCTTCATTATGCCGCCCATACCGCGATTCCCACATAAACCGACCCTACTTTCTCCTTTCACGACTATTCAGAGGTGCTCTAATTCCTTTTTTGTAGAAAAAAGATCGTCTAGAGTTAGTTAGAGTATATATTGTGATTCTGTGCAGCGATAATGTAGGAATGGCCAGGGAGGCCTGGCAAATCTCCCCTTCTTTCAACTCATTTCACAAGTCCTTAACTTAACCTATATAAGGAAGAAATTTGTGGCAAGCTGGTTTCGCAATCTGGGGACTGGGAAAGAAAAGAAAACCCAAGTATTTTTCATACTTACAGTGTTATGTAAAAGAAAGCTGACAGTAAGACAAGTAGTCGACTTATCGGAGAAAATACGTACAGATTTGCAGCGGCCAGCAAGAGAATGGGAGCCCGAGAAAGGGCAAGTTTAAAGTCCGCACGCTATAAATTCATTTTTGAGAATCCCGTCAAAGCGATATTTGATAAAGAAGGACATCTGCTATTCCGAAGCTGAATCACTACTGCATTCTTTCTCAGAGGCAGCTAACAACTTTGAAGCTAAAAAAAACAAAAACCATTCCGAACAGCAAAAAATACAAGACATGATTCATCCAGTAAGCTCGAGGCAACATATTTTCTTACACTTTTAAGAAGATGAAACACTTCCGTTTTGTTAATGGCTGACTTCATTACAATTGATCGGAGAGCGATTGATCGACAAGTAATATCCAATTATAAAGTCAAAAAAGCGTATCAGTTGCTCCAGAGACTCGGAAGAGTAATTCGAACATTTACTGATAAGGTCAACTTCCGTCCGAAAGCGTAACTACCAGAAACATCACCCACGAAGCACTCTGAATAAAGCCCCAAACGACGTTGAGACTGTAAGGTCCAGAAAACCCAGTACTTCTAATCACGATCAGAAAGCGATGTAAATTCGTTTCTTTTAAGACACATCTGACTACAAATAAAAAAACCACATTACTAAAGAAAACTTCTTTATATGCCCGGAATCGTTTCATGTGACATTGTATAAACGCTGTTGTCACCTGCTAAGTAACCATAAACAACGAAGATAACGGTCATAAAAAGGTTTAGGATGGAAAACTTGCGATAAAGTGCAACGAAGAAGTCCCGATGACGACGCGTAAGACGCACCAACCGGTGGTTGCTGGCTCGCCACCGTTGGCACTTGTACGATGACGTCAACTAGTGAGGTGTTCTGCAATTGCGTCCGATGCTAGTTAATACGCGCGAAATTGACGAAGGGACAGGGTGGGAGCTCCCATTTGACGCGATCGACGTTAAAATCACGTTTTGTCCAGAAATCTCAGTACTATTCAGTGCTGGCATGGCATGTTGCTATTTCGGCAATTCCCAAACGAGGATCACAGGATGGGAACAGAGCATGAAGCAGCAAAGCCACAAGAGGTTGCAACAAAAATCGTTTTGCGGCTATTCCCACAAGATGCCAGACTCGGTTACAGTGGTTGTACTTGTAGGAAGCAGTTATTTGAGTTTTACGTAACTTGAGCATCTTTTTCGTGTACGTAGGGACGCTTCTCGGAGTTTACAGCGATTTTGCCAAGGACTGCTGACAGTGAGAGAGGGACCGAGCTAGACACTCCCGCTGAAGCATCCAACGCCTTACTTGAGCTATGTTTCGACTGGAATTACCAGGTACTTATTAAAAGTAAATAGTCAGTGTTCTTTGATTCCACGACAATAAAGCTTCATGCAAGGGGACAGCGGTGTGGGAGAGACTGATTGATGGTGCACGTGTGGGAAGATCGATGGGTAACTGAACCTGAAGAAGGCGACAAGAGAGTAAAAGTATTAATTTTCTGGTGCAAACGCTGCTGCCTTTGGGTTTGGATTTCCATTCCGAATTGCAGTGGCTTGTAAATGGGTCTGCGGCTTATACAATGATCTGATATGATACGAGGCATTCCTTTTATCCTCGGAGACGTTTTATCCCCAATCCTGGTTCAATTTAACAACTCCAAATTGATGGAAGCCATAGCCAGCCAGAGTGGTACCAGTCCGAATTCCATCACTTGGCCATACGCGTGGCAGCGAGCAGTTGACAGCACTTCATCTGAGCCAGAAATGAAAAACGATGTTTATGAGGGATAGATTAGTTTTGAGGGTATTCAGAAGCCTTGGTGGAAAGGGCCCCTTCTGAATGTTTCAGCAGATGAAAAGTAAAGCACGTTTGTGTTGCGGAATTGGCAGTGGGGAGAATGTTCCCGATGTGTTTGAGATGAGAAGGTCGTCAGTTATTCAGAAATTTACGATTCACTCGAAACACCCAAGCTAAAGGGTATGATACTATCCGGGTGGGAGTAGTAGCAACGACAATCGCTAATTTAGAAGATTTATTGTAATCATCCTCTTGCAGAGTAATCAATTCCAAGGAGGCTGATGTAGAGGTGATAAAAGTGTTATTTAAATGTATTTCGAATAAAAGCCTCTGTTCCGTGTGTACTGAACAAGGAGTACAACAACTGACCAGTTGACATTCACTATTTTTTGTATAGTGTGAAACGCATTCAAATGCACCTTACTTTGGGTTAGAAGACGGATGCATGGCCTACCCATGACTGAAGTAGTCGAGGTCGGACGCCATATGCTTTATTGGATACTTGCCATAAAACAGGTGCAGAACAAGTTTTATTGATTCAATACCAAATGTTTTCCTTATATCTTTTTTGAACTACCTTTACATCAAAGGATTTTTGAATTACAGCTGTAATTTAGAAGCTAGGAAATCACTAAATTGAGAAATTTGCCTTTGATTTGTTATTCCTGATTGTGGTCAGATTTCCTAGATCTCTGACATCAGTGGACAGCCAGAAAAAGCAATCGCCATAGGCTGCTTTCAGACTTTGACATCCGCCCGTTCAACGCATGCTGCGACAGCAGTCGCGTGCGTGTCGAGACGGCGGTTCTAGAAAGGTGTTAACAACACTA